GTAAAACGTGTAAGCCCAAAGTGATTATTTTGCAGATATATAAAATTAAAACGATGGGTTTAAAATGAGCAGCAGTAAAGCCTCTTCTCTAAAAAAATTTTAAAAGGTACATGTTACAATAATATATGGATGTGAAAAAAATTTGTTTTATTTAAACATTTTGACGTTTGGAAAATAAAATAAAAGTAGCGAATACTCTATCAAGGGTATCGAAAGACGTATACAATTTTTAAATGTACCGTAGGTATTTTTCATTCTTTAAGCATAACATTTTCCTTAAAAATCTATATTTTTGTAGTGCAACAGCTTAGAATTTTATAAAACAAATTCATAATCAAAATCGCTGTTGTTAGTTATCGAAAAATAACCAAGATGTGATTTTTGCGTAAATGTCAGTAAAACTATACAAATTGCTATTATCCATCACACTATGAATGTTTCTTTCATGCGAGTTGTCCTTTTTTTTCGATTTCTATGGAACTTGTCGTGTGTCGAAATACTATCAGAATCTTGTCAAGCGAGCTTCTGAATGTAAACAAAGAAACACCCCGTCTGGTGACCCAAGCTTCAAAGCAGTGCTTCACTTCTAGCGCGGAATGGCCCCTCCTCCCTTTCCTACCTCCATGGTGAAAAAAGGGTTCTAAATTTACGACCTGACCGCAAGGTTCTTTAATATACTAAGGTTAGGCCAGGAACGGAAAAAGCGTGCCATTGGTTGCTGGTAGTGACGTCAACCGGGAGACAAGACGCATCGGCCGACGCGTCTGCTACATGATTTTGGTAATGGAAAAAATGTAAACTAAAGCAAAATGATAATTTTATATGTGGTAGATATACCGGAAATAAAGGGTATATACTTTCCGATTAAGTATTTTGTTAAAAAAAAATGTTTATTTATGCACAGAATTCGTACGAATGCTGAAAATAATTGTAAACATTAAATTCTTTTCGTAAAGGAAAGCATTAGAAAATGAAAAACGATATTTAAGTTAATTAGGGAAATAAATATTGTAAAGCAAGGTTATTTTTCAATTATTTTTCGTAGTCGTGTTTTTGCACTAAATAAATCTTGTTGAACAGAAACACATGATGGCATAACTGCTAAACCATCGTAAAAACATAATCAAAAAGTATTATTTATTATTTTTCATTGCTCATGCACTTTCCATGAGAAATATATGATCGTGATTTTCAGTTCAAATTACATATCTCAAGCAAAAAATATATAAAAAAGATTTGACTTAACAAATTCATATTTAAATACCATAAAATTCTACAAATTTTCTTAATATCCGTCATTATACTTTTAAATAGTATACTTATCACATTCTTTTTAAAGTGAAAAGTCACTTCATACTGATTCACTTCAAATTTTAGCAGAAGTGCGTATATTTTCAGTATAATCTAAAAGTACTTCTTATAATCCCCTTACACTCCCAAGATTTCTATATAACATTTATCCTGACGTGATTATTTGCTATAGTAAAATAATCTTCGATATTGGCATCCTTTCTTCCTTTCATACATTAAAAAATGGAACAATTAAAATACATTTTCTTACACATATACACCACAATAATAATAATAATAAACTTGCCTTACATCTTAGTTTCGGCCCATCAGCGGCGGCCGAGCGGTAAAGTCGCTGAACACACTGGGTAGTTCGGTTCGAATCCCGCGAACGGGCTGGCTGCATGGGTGTTTTCGTGGGTTTTCCTCATGCGTAACGTGTATACGAGCCATTTTTCCCGAGAAAGTCCTCCACGAAGGCATCACACCTATTACGCAGATAGCCCTAGCGTGCTTTGCCATAATTAAACACACCACAATCTTAATTTCAATTCAGTCTGTACACAAATTAAATATTTTTAATTACTAATGTATTTTTATTAGCTTGTTTCTTAAAATTTTTGTTATACTCGAAATATGTGTTCAATATTGAATTATTTTTTCTTCTTTATAATTAAAAACAAGTTATATGGAATCAAAATTAAAACATATGCAGCAGTTAAATAACACTGAACAGAATATCTTACTTTCTCTTTCGCTATTTGTATTCTAGCATTATACGCAGATTTGTTTTCCTTCAGGTTTCAAGCATGTGTAAGTTATATCAATTAAATTACTCACACATACCTGTATGCATCAGTTAAATAACACTGAAGGAAATATGTCACTCACTCATTCGATGTGTTGCAGCATAGTGTGGTCGAGAAATTGTCCTTTCCTCACGGTGAGGCATGTATCAGTTTACTTAGTTCGCAAAGCTTAACCCAGACGCTGCTTCAATACATAGATTACGTTTGCGATGTAAAGAAGTAACCAAAACATGTGAATGAAGTTGGATACGCAAATTTATTAACTAATCATTTAGGTACTCGTATTGGAAACATGACACTGAGTTTAAATATCTCACTACGATGTAAGTCTCATACACAAAATGAAGATTATGATAAAAATGATTTAAAATGAGAAATTTTTCAATTAAATGTAAATAGCAGTAAAATGAAAAATAAATGCAAAATTACATCACAGTTATGTATGAAAACTACATAAATTTCATTAAAAAAATAGTTATTTTATCTGATTGTAAAAAGTGTTTTCCGCCAAAAAACGTATTAACGTGTATAATTCTGACACAACGCTATAGCACAATTTGCCACTCCGATCGTACGAGGAGCAAAGCTTCAAGTGAAACATTTTCAGTTCGGTTTTTAAAAGTTCCGCTTACCTAGCCCAGGCGTCACCATCGAGATAGATAAGGCCTGTGCTCTGAAACGAAACTGGCTTGTGACGTCACGGTTAAGGGACCCTCAGCAAACTTTTTATTGGCTTTTATAAGTTGTAATTTTTTTATTCATTATTTAAGAATTGAATTTATGTTTACTTTTGACACCTGAAGCATCATCCCTTGTAATAATTACTAACACTAGTAATATAAAAATTGTCAGCAAAATTATGATTATTATTTTAATTGGAAACTAATTTTATATGAAATAACTGTCTTAAGGGGTAAAAGCATAAACTTATTTCATTACATAATATGTAGAATATCAATGCAGAGTAAATTTGATTCTTGACAGAGTACTGTGTTCTTAAATTTAAATATCAATGTTTTTTGCAAATCATTAAATATCATTTATCATGATGAAACTTAAATGCATATGTTTAGCTAACATAGCGTCTGTTCACTTTATATATGGTTATTATCATGCAATCAGTTTTGTTTAAATTTGTTATGCAATATAACTTTCTGAGAATGATAGAAAAGTTTTTCTAAAGTAATGTATGTAAGATTCATATTAAGGTAATTAAATTGCGAGACTGCAAAATGAAATTTTAAAAATGTACAATTATTGACGAACAGTAGTAATTGAATTCATATGTAGACATACTTGTTTTCATTGTATTTCCATTCATTGCAATTTTAAAAACAATTTTTTAATTATCTCTTTTAAATTACAATCTTTAATTTGAGTACGTGGCCCCGCCAAAAGCTATGTAAGTTAAGTTAAAAAAATTGCTACATTATACAGAAAAGTTTTTGAACATGATGTTAGGATTATATTTTCTTTTCATGTGGATATTAATAGAAAAAAATATTTTCAGAACAGAGGTAACGCTTATAGTTAAATAGGTATGATTAAATATTTGCAAGAAATTTCAGTTCTAAAGTTTTTTAAGTATTTCGTATATTTTTTAAATATTTTCAAAAAATTGTGTACAACTTTATTTAAAAAACTTTTTTCCTGTTTATTTCGAATAATTTTAATATTGATAGTCTTCAGAGTATGTAAATAAACATTATCTCAATTTAAACTACAGATTCTGTCGAATAATTATGTAGCATTAAGAGGAAAACATTAACATACAATATGTAAGTAAGAAATAATTTTAAAACTAGACTATTTAGTAATTTATTTACATTCAGAAAACTTTTCTGACTGATATAAGGCATTTTAAATGTTAGTCTAAATATTAAGTAGTCTCTTTGCATTCGTTTGATGTTTTATAATCCTGCTACATTAATATGATAGATATAAAAATATGCAATAATTATAGAATGAGAGATACATGTGTTCCCACTGGCAACATTTGTTAAAGTAGTGGGTGAAACAAAAAAATTTGATGCGGTGATGAGAATCAACGAGAGACAAAAAGACAGCGCAGAAAAATCAAAGTAAAATTTTAGCTACTTGAATTTAAAAAAACCAATTTTCTTCAAGAAATGATTTGCTTTTAAAACACCACACCATTCTCAAATAATTTTGTTTTGAAAATAAATACAAACAAAAAAAAATGAAATATTTCATATTCGTATAAGCTTTGTAAAACATTAATTGCCGCTTGTAATTTTGTTTTAGACTGATTTTATAGTATGAGATACCAATTTCATAGAATAGGTTTAGAAAAACGGGTGTTTAGCAAGGAAGCTAAACTGCGCGAAGGCCGGTTCCCTAGCAATGACGTAGTAACTCAGCGCGCAGGCCTTATCTATCTCGATGGTGACGGCCCAGGACACCGGTTGTAGCGAAACATGCTTTGGTAGGAACTCTCCAATAGTAGGAGAAGAACAAACCCGTTTTTCGGAAAAGTTCCGCCTAGGCCCACGCGTCGTCGATAACTCCATTACTTACCATTTAATTTCTGTTTTTATTAAGAAAAAGGAAACCCGAATTTTCAAAAAGAATGAACGCTATTATGTCTTCTCGTTGAATGATAAAGAAGAAGCGTAATTACTTTAATATGTTTCTGAATGTAAGCTAAGAAAGCACGAAATATTTAGTTACTGTATAGCGTATTTTGTGTTACCATCACTATGTGGAGCAGGTATTTTGTGTTATGAGAGCATTGTAATATCTAAGCGTTTCATACGATGCCGATCTAGGCATTGTAAAGAATCTCTGGATATTCTATACAGTAACAGATTTCTACATTCTACTACATTCTACTACACCTATATATTTAGAGCTTAAGAAAGGAAAGTTAATTTATGTTACCTTCCTGACCATTGCATTCGGAAGTATATCAAGGTTTGTTCGATTTTCGGCTGGCACTAAATAAGCCTTAGCTGTACTGCAACGTTGTCCAGCTCGTAGAGTGGCTTGTACATCGTAAAATCCTGAAAAATTAAACAAACGTTTTCCAATATTTGATAATAATTATATATTATACAAAATTCTCAACATTATTTTATAAGGTATTTTCTCCCTCCTTCCAACATGCCTTCGTGGTATAACGGTAGCCACTCGACGCGTATTTGAGGGGTCCAGTTTCGAGTCCCGGCGAAGGCATTGCTCATTTTTCATGTACTCTTGCTTCAAAATAAAATTAAAAAATAAAGAAAAAAAACTTAATGACTCTACGATTTTAATACTTTTCTGCATTCATCGGTTTCCTTTTAAAGCTGAATTTTTAAATAAAACATTAGAATTAAGTTCCAATACTGCAGGATTTGAGGCAGAATGGAAAAGAGAGAAAGTAGTCCGAAAATCACACGATTCAGCAAAATATAAAGTTAATTTACTGTCTCTAGTTTCATCAAGGCGTACGGGACTTTAAAATTTAAAGAATAAAAAAAAAAATATCACCAATGAACAAAAGTCAAAAAATTAAACAGGTTAAGAGAATTAAAAAAAAAAAAATTAAACCAAACAATAAAAAAAAAGTTTAAAAGCTAAACACTGATAAATGACAAAACGGGTTGCTGAATAAGCACCAATCGGAAACATCAAGGGGAGTCCTTTGTTTGCAAAGAACATGTGGGGATTTATTTAGTTTATTCAACAGTTAATTTTATTTTGAAGCAACCTTGCCTCTAGCTCTTGCTTTCAACCTACTCTTTCTTACCCTTACATAATGTAAATGAGTTAGCGCGCGTGTACTTAACTGAGGTAGAAAGAAGTTAGTATTTAAGGGAATGTTTTGGAAGGTGAATTTAGAGTGTGTTCTGCCTGCCTTGAAGGCCAAGCTTCTATCTTTTATTTACTAGCAATTAGATTTTTATGATGATGAGCTCTCCTAACCATTAAGCTTGTTTACGCCATCTTTTACGAGTCAGAGAATGCTGCGCGTTAAGTAACCTGTGAAGCCGTTAGGTTAACGTAATTCCATTAAATTTTTACTTACTCATTACTTTCTGAGTTAGGCCAAAATGTTGGCATTTGTAAGGACGAGTTCTATCTCGGCAATCTATGAGCATTAATTTGAGTTAATAAAGGGTTCTTTATACCCTTCTCTGGACTTTGTGATACTTAAGACTTAGGGGTAATTCCCTACACAGTGCTTTAACGTCTAGTTAGTTTATACTACCAAAGAATATAAAACGTTATAAACTTTTAAGTCTTTATTCACTTTTTTACGTTAGTGATTCTTCCAAACGGTTAAAAGTGCCAGCAAAAGGCTTGAATATATATAGTTGAGCAACAAAATATTACTATGCTTCTTCTATGTATAATATTAAAGAATAAGTTAAAAGGATTAAATTATTTTTTTAATAATTCAAAACAAATTGTTATTCAGAAGTTTCTTTTTAAGACTCTTTGTTAAATTAGGATATAATAAATTGCCCAGGATAAAAAAGTAAAATAATTAAAGTCACAAAAGTGTCAGAAAATCTTCTAACCTTTCAGATTAGTATTGTCTTTCACTTTCAAAGCATTCTATTTGTTACGAATAATACGAACTATAAGCTTTTTTGAGTTGCTGAATTTAGCAACTAGTAATTAAATTTTTGCTTCTTGCCTTACCTGTTTGTTGTCCGTCATTTGAATCAACAGTTTCATAACCCAGCTGCGTAGCTGCCCGGAAAAGAAGACGCTTAAATTCCGCTTCATAACGTGGACGGTGCACTGTTACTGGTCCGCCAACTCCATGATATCCTACAGTTAGATGAAAAAGAAGAAGAATTTTTACGTAAGTTATATCATACTGAATAAGTAAAGCACCATATAAAATGACTTCGGATTTTCAAGTACATGTGTTGTTCCCGAGGAATTCTTAATTGGGATCAAGGACAAAGCTAAGGGTTACGAAGTTTCAGGATAGTTCTGCCTACACCTTAACAATTCAGTTTATAAATTATTAAGGTAAGCAAGAGTAATTTAGAATTAAAATGATAATGTCAGATATTATTAAAACGCAATGTTAATGAGAAAACTGCGTTAAACTTGTGTATGCACAGTTATTATTATTTAAATTAACCAATTATTTATAGTTTCAGCCTTTAATATAAATTTTTCTTTTCGTTTTTTAGCAGAATGCAAATTAGTTAGATACTATTCAGACTGAGGTTTTGAGGTTGTAGGACAGAGTGTATTCCTGCCTTTTGCACGCAGGTCACTTTAGTTGATGTTAGTTCTGATAAGTTGTAATTACTCGGCTTTGCGTTATCGTTGTCGAATTTTGAATCTGATACGTCGATTGAACTTCTAAGCTAACGTAGATTAAAATTTGTGTTGACTACTAGTCCACGTTTTGAATTGAAATGGACTATTATTGTATTTGCATGATCACAAGTTGTGGCTGATTTTATTAGCATAAGAACGAGCATTTTGGTCCAAGGACCCGTTTAAATAAAAAGTTTTTTTCCAAACTTTTCCAGTTTCCTGTAGTTACTTCAGACATAGCGATAATTCGCTTTTCGTCTGTTAGGGTTTGGGGATTATTTAACTTTAACCATATAAAAGAAAACCCTAGTAAGCGTTTGAACGAAAGATAATTTATAAAAATAGGAAACAAGATTCTATAACCCATTTCCGTTTGCATTTTGTGAGATCACAATTCAAAGATTCTCTGACTACTCTTCCAGACAGACAACATTGATGTAGATGCTCTCTGTATGTAACATATGCACTAATCTGATACACAGGTGCTTAATGAGAAGAACTTCCTGTTTTGTTCAGAGATTAATCGTCAGTTAGAACTTTGAGGAAAAGTGTTGCAGAAATCCTCTAGTCCTTCCGTACATAAGGAGCTTAGTAATTACCCCATTCCAGGTATTTCCGATAAGACTTTTAACAAAACGAAAAAGAGGGCTTTGTGTGTGAGCTTTATAATGTAGTGAAAGACTCGGAAGAAGACATCCAGCGGCACTTGTGTGAATTATGGCTGTAATGGTTAATTATTTTATTTAATAGTAATCAGGAAATTCTTATTAAGTTTTTAAAATAAATATTTAAAAGACAACTGTTCCTTTCTTTCACCCAACACGGGTGTTCAGACGTTACAGTATATAGAATAAGAAACTTGGAAAAATTCATGTACGAGAAAGATGAAGAGGCTCTTGCCTCTAAGCTCTCAGCTAACGGATGTGAGAATCCACTGCAAATGAAGAAGGGTTAAAATGATTATTTTATAAGGTATTCCTGAAATCAAGAATTCCGCAAGCGAAAATGGATACATTTTTACTTTTGCAGCTGTTACTTCAGATGTTAATCGAATCCCAAACAACTTCATTGTCAGAATACTACCACAATGATGCTTACAGAGAAATGATATCATCTTTGACTATCACCATCACATATTGGCTGATTCTCATCAGATACCTACCTTCACTTTCTTGGATCGGAAGCCACCGTTACTTATATTTCACACAGTAATTGTTTTTAATTTCTTATCATACAGTACTACATAATAATTTTTTATACTCTTCATCTGAAAAGAATAGCTTGAAAGTACGCAGTGTGTTTGTTTTCATTACTCGTATAATCAGGATCATGAGTCTAGGGTCAAGGAAAGCACTTAATGACAGTTAATGGAAAAGAAACCAACTGCACTAAGATGAGTTTGTTATATAATTATATTTAACCTGATGGCAGAATGGTTACGTTGTATGTATCAGGTACTTAAAGTCAAAAATATTGTATGCATACTCCTTACCATTTTTCACAAACTCTGGATCTCTGTTGTCCTCCATTTTTTTGAAATAAGGCAACACGTCTTTGTAGCTCCAACCTTCGGCTCCCTGGGCAGCCCAGTCATCGTAATTCTTTTTATTGCCTCGCACGTAAAGGTTATCATTCAATATACTGGAGCCACCTAAAGCCTTTCCACTCGGCCACACAACTTGCTATTGAATAATAATATAAAGAATTAATCTAATGATAAATCCTAATAGTTTTATGATTTCTATTGATTGATAGAATTAATTTTAGAATATTTTAGTATAAATAATTCTGTTATACATATTATTCTATTTATTAATATTTTCGTTTATTAACTTATTTTTGAAAAATGGTGGCTTATATGCTTCATGGATTAAAACTAAAACCGAGTTGACATTTTAAATTTTTTGTAGGTTACAGTACCCTTATATAGAGCATTAACTACGTGAGTTTTGCAGAAATATAACACTTAGCATAAAGAAAATAAATGAAAAGCAAGAGAAATTAAGTGATAATTTTAACTTTACTTAGTTCAAGGAAAGAAAGTTTCAAAACTCCATATTATTCTTTATTATATACTTGTACACATACCTGGAAGCCAGAAGTTTCAGTTATATATATTGTGGCGCTGTTGTTATTCTACTTTGAGTATTAGTCGCAAAATGTTTTGAAAACTTTAAGTTCCATTCTGCGATTATTATTCTAAATACTTACAAAAAGTTTCTGAAAAAAAAATTCTATTGCTGATTAGAAATGACAGTAATTTCCACTCTCTGTACAACATTCAATATGTATGCATGTCATTATGCAAAAATAGCTATTTTTGAAGTTTTTAAATTCAATACTGATAATTGTTTTTTCGATCCAGCTTCCAATCATCAAAATACATCAAAATTAATAGCGTTAAAAACGTATTGCATATTGATATTTTATATATCATTCGAGCATTGAACTTGTAAGGATTTAAAGTTTTAGTAACTTTTATTTTATTTTAAAACTTTACTGTCCTCTCTTATTTTCCACTTCCGGCCAGAATAAACGCGGTTAGTTTTAGTATGCAAATTGACTTTGCAAACTGTTAAGTATTTAAGTTGTGGCTTTTGGCCAAGAAGGGTCAGAGGAGAGACTGAGAGATTTCTCGTCACCTTATTTCACGAATTTATTTATTTGGCTAAATTAGACCAGAAATTTAGTCCTCTTGATATTGAAGATGTATCGTAGTTTTGCCGCATTCTGCCTGTTACATACTGTAAAGATCTAAAAGGTCAATTTAGTCTTTGTAAAGTATTTGAGTTTAGCTCTTATTTAAATTTAGTTAGTATGTAGTTCTTATTTTTTTACGTTCAGACCACAAGTACTGGTCTTTGTATACCGTAGTACGGGAGCAGCTGTAAACAGTGGAGAATAAAGGGTAAGTTAAACCCTTCCCATCTTTGTCATATCTTTTACAATTTCATCGGACATAGTTTAAAGGAAACTCACTCTTCAGGACACCCACATGGATTCACTATTCAGGACACCCACATGTTCGCCAAAGCGTTTAGACGAAATAGAAGTCCTGATAAACTAAGTACGAGTAGTTTACCTTTTGATACCTATCTTTATTTTAATTAGTGTCTACGTATTTATTAGCATTAAACTGCCCATATTTTCAATCTTAACGTATGTTATAAATGTAGTTTGTAAATCCTTAATATATCGTCAGAAATTTTACTTGTCTTCTGTGCACATTAAAAAAAGTTAAAAAAACGTTTAATAAGCATAATGGACCGAAAAGCAGAGCGTTGTCGCTCTCTAAGACTAATTTTCGGTGATATTAATGAAGCTAAAATTAAGGAAGGTTTCTTTGTTGGTCTTCAAACTAGCGAACTAATCAGTGATTCTGTACTTGAAATAATGTTGAAAAGTTTTGAATCTGATACGTGGGAATCCTTAAAAAAATAGGATAAAAATTACTCAAATACCAGAAGATAAACAATTACTGAGAACCAATAATTGGGTATCTGAAAAACTGTAAAGCACCGTAGTTCAAAATGGTAATGGTATTTAAGGCGCTTTTCTGGGTTCTGTTTTGATTTTTTTCTCTCAAAGAACTTAAATTACTTATGTGAGGAGTATGAAAAACGTCTTCATTAACTTGATATTAGAATGTTTTACTTTAATTAACTAGTTATCTTATTATTTTGGCTTTCTGTAGCTTTTGTCAACTTCCAGCAGAATATAAATTAGTTTTAAATGTAAATTAGAATCAAGTTTCAAAATTTAGGGAAAACGTTTGGCCGATTAGGTCGACTGTCTAGTCATGCTTGTATTTCTACCTTTTGCTTTAGGCTGCCGGCAAAGATTTACTTGCTGTGATTCTTCACGAATGATTTGTCAGGCGAGTCAAGGTTTCAGTTAAGATTTGCTGAAGTTAAATTCGATTTGCATTGAGTATGTGTTGAGAAGCTGTTACTCTATCAGTAACTTAGCGGAAGCTTTGTTTCTGTCAGGCTGACGTGTTAATGAACATTTTACTTTGGCTGTGATACTTCTAGCCAGAAAGTCAAACGGGAAGAAATTTTTTTCGTCCGAAAATATTTTACGGTTAATTCAGTGAGCTCGCACTTTAGATGTTAGAGCGTAACCATATAATGAACAATGAAAAAACGCTGCAAGGCAAAATGAAGTCCCTCAAACACCGACTATTCAAAAACGTATGCACCAGATTTAGGTTCTAAAATGTATCTACTAGAAGCGAAGATTCGAAGAAAATTACATTCCCTCACAATGACTAGGATTACATTCTTAGGTAATTAAACAAATTCTAATGACTTATATATGTAAAATACCTTTCTTTTGTAATGGAATAGTTTACTCAAAATCAGTAAAGAGTAATATTATTTGGAAACCGAATTTGCAAGCAGCCCTGTACTGTACATTATTGCGAATTCCGTATACACACACACACATATATACCTACATACATATACGTGTACATATAGATATATATATAAATTGTTAAGTAGACAAAGGTTCATTTTACAAAAATTACGAAAGAACTAACAAGTTTATATATGTATATATATAAACATATATATATACATATAAGCATATATATATCAAATGTTGTATGATCTTAAATCCATTTAGTGCGAAGACAAGTTATTACTACTTGCGCAATTGCTGCAAAGTTAGTTAATAATAATTTATTTCCTAAACAGTAATGATTAATTGATTATATTATCTCCTAATTTTAATTAGAGTATATATACATAAACTAAGCAAATTAAAATAACTTTCTCACATCTGGAATAATGAATTAGCATATAAGAATATTTTCAAATGGGGAAAATATAGCGAACTAGAAAATGAGAGCTGTTCTAAAATTCCCTATACAAACCGACACTGTGCAAAACAAAATTCATGCAAAAAATTATCAAGATAAATTATTAAATTATATATATTAATCGCCGCTCAAACGGTATAGCGAGCGGAGTTAGGGGTTAGCGGAGCCTACTACGGTAACGAAGTGCTTGAGTTCGAATCTCGGAGAAGTCATGGATGTTTGTTCTTTGCGTCATGGGGGCACTCTGAATATATGGCGAGCCGAAAGTCCTGTCGAGTGATTTAGTGATAGGAGAGAGGGGTGGGATACCCTTGGACTTGCCTCCCTCTCCCGGGGTGTTTCCTTCAAAATTGGGGTGGAAGCAGAATTTCAAATCCTTAAGGCTTTGCCAACCATTCTTGCACGAATTACACGGACAAGACAACAACATATATTAATCTAATGCCTAATGCCTAGGATGCGATTTAGTAATTAGCAAGTTATTGCATTGAATTTTAATTAAATAATTTATATTTCTTGTGGTTTGCAATGGAACTTAGAAAACAGAAATGATCAGAAACATTTATTTAAATTAAACAATAAATAAGAATTAATTTTTTCCCCTTCTGAAACATGTTACTTTAATAATCAGTTTTGCTCATGGAATAATCGAAATAAATTTGCGAGTTTGTATATGAAACGCATAATGCGTCATTCAGAGGGTAAACATTATGCGTTAAAAAGTAGTTAAATTACTTTTTTGCTTTAAAGGAACATTGGCAGGCAAACAGATAGTTATCAAAACGATATATCAATCTGCAAGTAGATGCTAATTTTATAAATTTTTTATTAGAATTCATTTCACTCAATAATTCAAGCAATTCCATTAATTTTTTCATAGTACCGTTTCACAAGCACTAAATACAACTCTGATTACATTTATCCCATTTCAACATTTCTATATATTTCTTCCATCTTTCAATTTGCGCTTGCTACAATTTTTGTGGACAATACGCAGTATTATATATGCGCATGCAAACAAAAGTAACCAATAAATGGCTATCTAAATAAAGAAATCGATCTGAACAGGTAAAATATAATCTATACTCTACATACCCGATTTTTGAGTCCGTTGCCTGTATACTTTTGAGGTGCAGTACGGTATGCCCAATCAATATCTGTAAACCAAAAGAACCTTCCTAACGCGGGTACCTCTGTCAGATAAGGCGGTTCTTTACCAGCCTCTAATAGAAGCACAGACACGCAGGGTATTTCAGACAAGCGACTAGCTACCACTGAACCTGCTGATCCTGCACCCACTGAAAAAAAAAAGTAAATAAATAAACAAATTGATATAGATTTGCGAAAGTGTTGGATTATTATTTATCTCATTTTTGAATGACTTCGAAGGAAGTCGATAAGATTAAAACATTCAATTATAGATTCTAAATTGCCTTGATTTGCATTGCGAGAGGAAAGTTTTCTTTGAAATGATTGGGATAGTCCCTTTTTTTTCAATTACAGATGGAAAATGGATGTTATTAATTAATGCTCTTCGAGTTGGTGTACATCCGTTGTACCAATCAGAATCCCACATCAAATAATCATGTTAATTTTTTTCATAAGAATTACTAATAAAGTACTTCAAAATAATGACCACAACTCATGAAATGTGGCACTCCATATTAATTTGTTGCCCGGTTGCCAAAATAAAGAAACAGGAATCTGTAAAAATGTGAACTAGTTTCCTTGTAGATTTTTGGCCACGAAAATATCTTATAATTGAAGTACGAGTTTATGCAGCTCGAATGTTTCTTCTGATCATTAATTAAAGTTATCTACATATTGTAGATTTGTATATTGTAAATCAATTTGTATACTGTCATTAGCAATAAATAAAAAAGGATAATAAGCCCCCCCCATATATTGTAATAAAAGAGCTATACTAGATGCTAAACTAAGTCTATTGATACTTTATTAGTCTGTTGAATTCCACTGAACTTAAATTGAAATGGATAAATTTACTAAAATGATGTAATAAAAAATCTAATATCAAGATAGCTACAGGGTGTTTCAGCACAGCGGTTACAAACTTTCAAGAGAGATAGAGTAAACCTAAAGGATGGAAAATCTCATATCATTGCATGATCGGAAATACTACCGCCTTCTTTCTCCAGCAAGTATTGCCAAAGCTACTGGACGACACACATGTACCCGCTGCGATGCTGTCTGCCATATGGTTTCAACAGGATGAGGCTCCCTCTCATTACAGCCTTGTGCGTCTCCACCTGAATGGAACGTATCCTCACCATCGGATCGGCAGGAGTGGTCCGGTGCATTGCCCAGCAAGATCGCCAGACCTCACTTGCATTTATTACATCATCTAGGCGTACGTCAAGACACTGGTGTACGAAACCCCGTTAACGGTACTGAGGTACTTGTTGCACGCATTATGTTAACTGCTGGGGAAATTGGGGACACGCCCGTTATTTCCCAGAACATCAGATCTCCAATGCGCCGGAGATGTGAGGCCTGCACACGGTTCAAGAGCGTAATTTTAAACACCTTCTTTGATGACGATCGTTGCCGAATTTGTTCTGGTTATTTCTTGGTTTCTACTGTACTAAGCAAAATAAAAATGTTTTTTCGTCGTGTTTATGCCCTTTCTTTCTTGTGTTTTGTGTTGTTACTACCACGCCAGGAAAGAGTTTCCGACAATGCATTGTTACGTCATTTTCATTCGTCTCGGTGTACTCTCTCTCTCCTGAAAGCTTGTAACCGCTGTGCTGAAACATTTTTGTAAGCAGATCATCAGGCTATAAACAAAGCACAATTAACACATTTGGGTCTCAACTTGTTTACGAAATGTGTCACAACTAAGGTTCTAGATTGATCGTTGAGCGGAAACTTTTTTCAAGTTGAACAAATATGTGATTTAATGCAAAATCAAAATTTCCTTCTACATCAAAAAACAGCATTTGGCATTTCAAATAAGATACCATTTTTCTTTCCTACGTGAGTGCGCAAGTAATTTTTCTTCTTTAGTTTCGGGAAGACTTCATGAGTTACCAAATTTACTCCTCGGTTTCGTTCCCTATAAGGTAGGAATAGAAAAGAGCCGCCAAGAAATGAAGATAAGTAGCAAAAATTATGCTTTTTTATGAACTCAAAATGCTTCAGTTTCTCTAAAATTCAAAATATAAAAATACGTACAAATATATGTATATAAGTACAAATTCAACACAAAGATATGTATGTAAGTACAAATTCAATACAAATATAAAAATACATACCTATGACGTAATCATACTCTTTCTTCACTGTTGTTGCAGTGTTAGGTGAATGCTTTTGCTTCGCAAGACTTAATAACAACATAGGAAGAAGAGTTGCATTAATCAATGGAGTCTGATACGCTCTTTCCGCCGCAATGTCCATTTCGTCTAAGAAAGATTGCGGTACGTTAAAAAAAATATCAAACTGATCCTTTAGATTCCAACTTTACAACTAGAAGACAATATAAACATAATGAAAAATTAGAATTCATCAAATACTTTAAATCACAACTATATGACGAAAAATATTTACACCCACTTTCGTGTAATATTTAAACTAAACAGATTTATGGACTCCGAGTTCTGACATCAATATTGCCGAAATGTTGACTAATAAAAATAAAATCTATTTAAAACTGAGCTGAGTGTCGGATGTTCAGGCTGTAATTTTTAGCAACGATGTGTAAAAGTGACTCAGCTTGTCAGTCAGTACAACAGCTTTTCAATTTCATCCACTTTAACTTAAGCTGTGTGAACGCTTAAATGAAAGTGGAAGTAAGCCTTTTAGGTTTTAATCATTACGCAAGTTACCACATCCACACAAGAATAAAAAGATACGGAATTTTGAGAAGTCGCTTTAAATTGGATTGCTTACATTTACTTTTAGATTTAGACATTTCTTATTCACACTTTAAAAATATCCTTTAATTTTTCATATACATTTTATTCGAAAATTTTGTAGTTACTTATTGAACTTACAGTGACCAACACAACCTAAGACAATTTTTAATGTTTTTCTTTGGTGTTTTTTAATTTTCAGAATATCTTAATTTATGCGCACCAGAAATCTGTAGCGAATTAAAATTAGTATTCCTGAGTGAGATTATATTTTGTGGCGATTCTTTGTCCTCGGAATTCTTTGCCTAGCAACTTTGAAGCAACTAATTTTTTTCATAAATTTTTAATTAAAGATAAAATTTAACGAAATAAAATCTTTATATATAATAATCAAATTTCCTTTATATAGTTTTCAGGTTTTTCTTATATAACTCATTGGGACTGAAAGGGTTAAGGGAGAGAATTAAATGCTGTATTTCACCACACTTATAATTTTCAGAATATCGATTTATGAGTTTTTTTACAAAAGGTCATTTTTTAATAAATGATTTAGTTTTACATTTTATATTCAGTTATTTTATTCATAAAATGAAATTTTTTCCTTCATTAACAGTAGTATATATTTGTTTCAAAAGAGAAGTGAGAATCAGGGTTTGGCTGGAAACTGTAGCAATCTGTATGCAAGACGAAAGAAATTAGGAACTTTTCATGAAACTAGCGCTTGAAGCTCTTAGTTCTGAGTATTGAGTTGAAAAACAAGCTAAGCGACTGGACTCAGGGTTGAGGGATGAATTATAGCTAATTATACTATTGGGGAGAATCGCAATAGTTAGTCCCGTTAGTCGGCAACCGTGAGAATGGGTCTGTCCCCTCTGGACGCCGAAGGCTATTTGGTTAAATAAAGACAGCTGAAAATTTCGATCATTACTGATGATGCTTCATGTACAGACAGAAATAGAATTTCTTAACTTAGTAGTATTTGTATGTTTTATAGCTACCATGCATTTTAAAAAGAGAATCTAGTAAATTTTAGTTTAGAGTTTACCAGAAGTGTTTAGATCACCCTTCCTTGTTTGTTTTTGTGACAAGGAAGGCCAGATTAAAGAGGCTCTTTGCCTCTTTTGCATATATGTACTCATACATATGGTTTTATTTAATTAATATATAATTTCATCAATGAATTATATTAAAAATATAGATTGAATTGATATTTTTCTTTTTCTTTCTTTTTTAGCTAAACTTCAACATTACGAATAATGAATAATACAACATTTTAATCTTTTTCCAATAAAATTACATATCCTTGTAGTTTGATTAAAGGAGGCAAAACTTCCTGATTATACATATGATAAAAACGTCGTTGAGGATGGAAAACAGTCTGTGGAACAGGATTTTCCAAAATTAAATAATTTTTTAAATTATATAAATTTTAAGCAGTGTATTTTCAGAGCTGTGAAATACGCATTTTTTTTTTCCTTTTTATTTTTTTATTATTAAATACTTATTCAGAGTAATAAGAGAAATATAGAGATTTTCCCAAAACATGTTTTAATCTGTCAAAATAACTTTAATAATATGGCGTCTGATCGTTAAACACAAAAATTATAAAATTTGGTTTTACGATTTAATGTATTTAAGGAATAAAACTTTAGTTTATGTAAATAATGGGAATAATATAAATACAAAGTGAAAAAAATATAAATGCTTTACAAATAAATGAAGTTGGTATAATGCTTTAAAAGTACTGTGGTTTTTTCTTCCAGTTCCGCTTTCCAAAATTTTTCATCAATTCCCCTTTGCTTCCTGATTGCTCAACAAATGCCCACATGACTGTCTTTCTTTATGTCTCTTGTGTTCACAATGTCTGTTCCTGTACGATTAAATCTACATAATAACAGGACCGCATAATTCTAAATTAAAATTTAGAATTGTATATAGCACCTTAAAGAATAAATGATGATATAACTAGTATCTACGGCCTTGAAACTGCATGCACGGCGTTACCAACTGGCCTTTACTACGAATGGTTAAAAAAATAATCGACGTAAACTTTACATTGATATACATCTTGCACAATGTTTCAAAAAGCTAGTTTAAATTTATATCTGATTATCCACATAACACAATCGCATGATTAATTCTATTAAATTTAAATCTCTTTTGTAGATTATTTCATATTTAGTACATCTGTATAACAGATTTCGTTAAATGTACGGCAACTTTCTTATGTGAAGGCTAAATAATGTTAATTAATTTTAAAAGTTTACATTAAATGTACGGCAACTTTCTTATGTGAAAGCTAAATAATGTTAATTAATTTTAAAAGTTATATAAACTTGCAGTGATATTTATGATATGATACTAAATAATTTGCTATAAGTTTTGAGAAAATAAGAAAATAGTTATACATTTTCTAGAAACATTTAATTTTTCTGGAAACATGTTTACTGGAACATTTTTTCCAAGATAATTTTTTCAGGGACTTTTTTTTTTTTTTTTTGAACACCATGCATAATAACACTGCATAATAACAATACCGTGTGCAATAAATTCGCATAATGATAATTTTTTTATGAAATAATTACAGTTGCTCACTTATCTGCACTTCCTGTTACATTAAATGGTCGCATTCCATACAATGTAACGAAAACCTAATTAAACAAAACTTAATTAAAAGACTTAATTACTGCAAAACCCACATAAACTATTTATCAAGGCAGAAAATAACACATATTAATTCATTCAGGTTTAAGTAACATTGTCTTTCATGTTATTTTTTTCCCGTTAAATTTCCTTCCAAGATATTATTTACCCTAGCTGAGTCCTGTTATTATGTAACAAGTATTTAAATTCTTTAGAAAAATGCACTAAAAATAAAAATTGTTAGCAAATAAATGCATTGCACAATCTACATACTACATTTACATATAAATATATAATTAAACAACATATCTAGAATTTAACTGCACACTTTCGACACGTACATTTCGTTTCCGTAAAGAGTGTAATCTCTTATCATATGTTTCTTTGTTTATACGATAGTCTAGGTCAGGGGTGGCCAACTTTTTTGTACATAAGAGATACATTTTATCTTAAAAGTGTGATGTGATTGACTTGTTATCATAAGTGTAGTCTAAGGGCGAGAGGGATGTTAACTATATACAATGTTTATACACTGTGTTTTAGTATAAGGTCTATTCCAGCGAGGTATGGGTAGATATATAAAAATATATGTTCAAAACTACTTCTTATTTTTTAAATCACTTATTAAGTTTTCGAGATACAGGTTCACGAAGAAAATAAATTTCCACACCCAACTTTTAATAGTAGCATTCCGTACATGCGGTACCTAAAAAATTCGATTTTCCTGCAGTTTTTCAAGATAAATTTTTACTACTTAAAACACTATTTTTTTTTATCTACTGCCATGTATAAGTTGTTGTACTATTTGTTCATAATATGAAAACGTTGTTATAAAAATGCACAGTATGGTTGATAATTTGATTTCAATATTTCACTTTTTGCATTTTTTGGGGCCAGGAGAATTTATCATGAAAGAATAACATGGCTTACTTTTTGCTAGTTTATCAATAGCTCGCTGAGCATACCTCATGCTGAAATATAGATATAAGGTTTATCTACCTACTTAAAACAACAACAATAATAATTATTTAAAGATCCCAAAAACTCATGTCAAAGGGAAAAAAAATAACGTGAATAATTACTGACAATATTTATTAATTCAAAGTAGGTATAGATAAAGACAGATTTAGAATTTAATTTCTTGCCTTAATATCAATGGAGAGACTGAGTTTGCATGTCTCTAACCAAGTAACCATAATTAGGTGTATATCCTGACAAAGATAATAATAATGAGTCTTCAGTATGGGAATCAGTCAGGACAGAACGTTGTTTAGTCTTGGTTAGTTTCAAGTATGAAAATGCCGATTCGCATAGAAGATCCGAAACAAGAATAGATATAGTTGCTAGATCCGAAACAAGAATAGATATATATCCGAAACAAGAATAGATATATTCGCTACATTTGGTGATACTGGAATATTTTTCTCGGTTGACATCTTTCAAAAAATTTTCTTCAAATAATCGGGCTTGTCAGATTAAATCAGTTTGTAGAATTACTAATTTTCTAATGATTTTTGATCCATATGAAATATGCCTGAAATCTTTTGGCTAATGCGTTTCACATTTAAATCTTTTTTAAAAGAAAAAAGATATGAATTCCCCACTTTCTTTAATTTTTTAAAATCCTGGAATCTTATCTCCAAACTTTGAATTACTTTTTTGGATTTGTGCGACATGTTTGTCGATCTTATAATTAATATTTTCATGTTTTTGTAGGTTATCTCCCATAGTTGGAAAATGATTCAGACTATTTTGTTACATATCTTCTATTAGCAAAATAAATTTTGTTTTATATGCATCTATGCAGCTGATCATATCAATTACCATTTTATTTTTACCTTGTAATTCTAAATTTAAATGATTTAATATAGAAGTAAAGTCAGTAAGAAATGCTAAGTCATTAAGCCAAGTTTCATCATTTAAATGTTCACAGTTTCCATCTTGTTCATGAAGAAAATCTACAATTTCAAGCAATAAATCACGAAATTGCTGCAAAAATTTACCTCTGCTTAGCCATCTGACATTGGTTATGTAGTAATAATTAAGGTTGGCTTTCATCCAGCTGCAGTTGGCAGGGACACCGCTTGAGGGAACTTTCTCGAATTGAATTAACAATTTTAAATGCTATTTCCATTACCTCTTTCGTGTTTACTCTCTTGCTAGCTAACACTTGCTGATGAATTTTGCAGTGATAGCTTAAAAAGGCAGGGAATTCATCTTGCTTTTGACATTTAGGGTTATAAATCCATTTATGCTACCTATGACTGCAGCTGTGCCATTCGTTGTTATTGAGACTAATTTAAAAAGTGGTACTTTCAAATCATCGAGCAAGTTTTTAAAGGCTTTGTCTACACCTCTAGCACTTTCCTTCAAAGAAATCATATCCGACAATTCTTTAGATGTAAAATTACATGGGAAAAACTCTTACCATGAAAAAATTAAAAAGAAGACATATTTAATTAATTACATAGCTGATTCTGCTTTTGCTAAGAACTGTTTCATAAATTGTGCTTTATAGCATTATACCTTGTTTATTTTTCAGATTCAAATTATTGTACAATAAGTTGCCAAAAAGGAACTTTATAATATGACAGCAAAAATTAAAAGTGTTTTATTTTGTTATTTTTCAAATATAATTCCAATATAGTACAATTATTTTAATGAAATTTATCAATGTTACAATGTTTTATGAAAAAATTGTCAAAAAATTCCCAGATCTCGGAATAAAAAATGTTCTATAAAAACAGATCTTAAAATTGTCAAAATGTTCATAAGTCACCAAATTTAGAACCGTTTAATAAAAGAATTGACATCCCCAAAAGCGAAAAGTTTTTTAAGAGCTCTTCATTAGAAAAATGAAATAATTTCAAAATGCCTATGTTCCACTTCTTGCTTAGAAACTCGAGTAGCCCACCATTTATATTAGAATTAGGAACAAACGAGCCCATTCCTCCACTGAACCCATGAACCCATTCATTCATTGAAAAGATAACCATATATGTCAGTGAATCAATGCTCTAGTTCACACTCAAAATGTCAGTCTTGAAAACAGAAATTTCAGATGATTAAAATTAAAAACCTTCTGCCGATTTTGGCCGAAATTAAGGACTTTTAAGGACCAAAAACCGATTCCAAAGAGCCTAAGGATTTTTAAGAACTCTTAAGGACCATACAAACCCTGTAAATAAAACTGCAAATGCTAGGTCGTTGAGAAGCTCTGTTTATTTCATATTGAGCTGAAGTCGATATTCTCATATGACTGAGAAGATTTTTACCTCCAAAAATAAATTCCTAAAGTGATTAGAAGGGGTGAAATGGGATACTTCTAAGGACTTGCTTTGCACCACCTTCAGGATTTCCATCAGACCTGCTACTGAATGTAGAGTTGAAGTACCTACGAAAGTTAGAAATCGTTCTAAACAATGCTGTTAGAATAATCACAAGCGGTATGCACAGCACCCCAGTTGAAGGCATGGACAACTATACACTCGTCTGGAACTAATGGTTGATTAAGTCCTGATGAGTCCAGATTAAAGACTTTTGACTGCAGTAAAAATTTGCTTTATGACTGCCCAACTAATATTATGTCACTTAAAGCGAATGGCATATTATTTTATAATGGTTTTCCAGCCATTGTGGCATTATCGGAAATGTCCTCGTAGATGGCTTGGCAAAAGCTGATTATTACTTGCCTCAACCCCATTCTCGGTTGATTTTTCTGCTGACAATAGGCATATTAAATCCAGCATCAGCTTTTATCATTGAAACCTCTGAAGGGCTAGGAAGAAGTCGTGGGTTCCTTACTGAGAGCCCCGGTTCCCTTTTAAATACCCAGAGTTATGGGAATAGTAAATTTTTGCCTCAAAATCTCTCATGACTATTTGCAAAAATAACTACATTGTATAAGGATGGCAAATTCACCAATATACCCATTATATGGCCTGTTTCATATGACTAGAGACCACCTTTAAAACTAATTTGATTTTAACCCGTTCATAACCAATATCTCGTAGGAATGACACAACAGTTCCACTCTTTCCAGCCTAGCGTTGCTTCTAAGCGCAGAGCTTCAATCAGTCTCTTCAGCCCAGTGACAGGTATGCGTAATTTAATAAATGGAACGATTTATTTGAATTTTTAAATGCCAGTAGATGGCGCTAAATGGTAACGGGATTCACATCGGTTGATTCATTCGGCTTTTGACCTTCATTTATGGGCATTAGTTTCAGTTCTGTGCATCTGGTTTTGACAGATTTATTGGTATAAACAAAATAGAAATCACAGCTTTTTAAGTTAAAGGGACACTAGCATCTTTTTTATTGCATTGGGATTTTTTTTTTTTTTCTTTTTCATTTTTGTTCTTTGCTTTTTTTCATTATTAGTATGTGGGGAAGTGCATCCAGCTTAATGTTTTCATCATTTATGCCATTTTCTTTTCTTTTTTTTATTAGGAGAATGTGGGAAAACACATTTAGCTAACTATAGTAAGTGTTACATCACCAAAATTCTGTGATGACAAAACTCAAACCAGTTGCCCTTTTTGATATTTATTTTAAAAATTAACATAGGCTTTTTAGGATAATTAAAAAGTAGTATTACTACAGAAGGGGAAAGATATCAGCTTCCTTGATGTGTGATGCATCTTGCTCATTCAGCATTTCTCAGAAAAAAGCTTTTGTCATGCATGTTGATCCTCATTTTGAACTATTCCACACACAGCACAATTTTTAAATTCAAATTTAATTACCTACAAATAATCATTCCTTAATTTCCCTCTAAATTTTGTTTTCATGTGTATAGTTATACTTTCAGTATTTTATGTTTCATTTATTTCTGTTAATGTGATATAGATGTAAATATGATATAAAGCATGTAACTTCAAAAACTGAGGTCATCATATTAAAATGCTGATTTTATATGAATTTTTTGGGTGAAACTAGGCTTAACTGCTGAAAATGCATGGGCCGGTGGCAACATTCCATTTTGAGGGGTTTAGTCCCATCACTGCACTTTGTTCTCCACATGCTGGTCCTCAAGGGGTTAATGACACCTACTGGTTTTATTGGGTTGCTGTCAGTACAATGCAAGTTAAAAAAATTCCATACTATGGGATAATACATAAATAAGCATTTTTCAAGCATACAAGTGTGAAAAACATTAAATTATATTTTAATGAAGAAATGAACACATACGAATAACAAGCATTTTGTCATCTGATTCAATCAGTCGAGATTCTATAGATCCACGAGTTAATCGCTTTATAGGGCAACCTATAATAAAAGAAATAATAAATTTATCTAGAAAAAATAACATTAATTTAAATAGTATAAAGAATGAATTACATATGTTAAATTTACAATCCACATTTTTTTTAAATTTTCATTGCTATGTTATTCAAAATTTTGATTTTCATAATAAGGTAGAAGCTCTATGTTCGCAACTGCTTATCTGAAAAATGAAACAAACACACAAAACAAAAACAAAGAAGGAAACAGAATTTTTTTCCTGCAAGAAACTATATTTTAGAAAAACAAATTGTGATACATTGAAAAACTTCAGTTCTAAAATTTAAGTAGGTTCATTACATAGGCTTTTAAGGACAGGTTTTATAAGACAGTTAAAAAATTAACTTACATAGTTCTTTCAGCAAAGAGCTAACTTCAACAAGAAATCCAATAGCTCTTGTCTCCACCTCTTCTTCATCTAAAATTATGAAGATTTAATAGAAAATAGCTGTAAAAAGTTAAGGTTTTTAATTTACATTTTAAAAAAAATGTAATAAATTTGGAATACAACATTTTCAACACATATTGTTTAATCAATTATGCCAAAGCACATCACATCTGTCTGAGGAAGGGATGCTATCATGAAAGACTTTCTATGGTAAACTGGTTTATAATTATGCTACGCATGGGAAAATCAAGCAAAAGCTCATTTAGTTGGCCACTTCACCAGGATCTGAACCCAGGTACAACTAACACTGTTCAGCAATTTGGCTTTAGGTAAAATACCATATAAATGTATGGTAATCAAAAGATATAAAATTTTAATCTCTGATGAATGTAAATTTAGTATCCAACTTCTCTCAAAAGTCAAAATCTACAGTTTTGTAACTGGTATAGCTGACATATTTCTCTCTAAATTTAACAAACCCACATGGGGGAAAAGTGCTGGACCTCTTATTAATGTGCAGCATTAATGCAGAAACATTTTGCCACTTTACAAGCTTAATGTAGTTCTGTATGTAAAACTACTAAACTGTCTAAAATTTGATCTCGATTACCTTGAATTTTGCAATTCGCTAATAATTTCTATAGACACATTAGAGACTTTAATCCTTTTAAGGCCAGGCAAACAGAGTATACAAATGCTTTAAAGAAAGTACAGCTGAATTCCACATACCCAGACTAATCGGTATGTAGCCATTGGATATCCAGCCCATTTGCATAATACAGGTAACAGGATTATTTCTTTCCTGTAGATTTAAATAAGTATTTACTGCAATGCAAGACTGCAATTTTACTTTCTTATTTACTGCTTTTGTTAAATAAAAATTATCCAGATAAAAATATTTTTCAAAACAAATGCATAACAAAGTTGTAAGGTTTATCCTAAGCTATCAACAGTTATTTTAATTTAAAGCTCCTTTCCTACCTCTCCTAATTTCAGGTTACAATTTCCTATCAGAATGTGTTTTCAGAATCATGTTTAATGCAAATGAGTAACAGTAGTATTTAAGTCGAAGTTCCACTGACTTTGAGAGAAAGCATCAGAGTTCTTGGCTAGTGCGTGCTTGCCTTTTGGCCACATCTCTCTAAGCTGAAAAAGACTACGCTTGACCGTATTACAGGCAATTGATAGCTTCGCTAGATAATTCGATATTCTGGAGCCAACTACTTAGAAGTGTGATAGCTTCGGCCATATCTCTTTAGTTAAACATTAGTTGAGTTCTTATTATTTTGAGTTCAAGCCCAAGTGGAGGCTTTGCTGTACGTCCTGAGAAAGGGGCCAACAGTTCATTCTTATTTTGAGCAATAAAGGGTAATTAACCCTTCTCGAGCCTTATGTTCATGTTACTGAACTTCAGCGATTATTTACTTATCTGTTCACTAGGTTCCGCTACATTTAGTTGTTAGATAAAAGGGTGGAACACCACAAAGTAAATTTATATATATAAAAAGTAATATTGACTATCTCGAAACCCTGGGAAATACCAAATATGTGCAAATTTTAACGAGATGTGCATATAAAAAATGCAAATGAATGGAAGAAATTTCTAGTTTAAAATTATGAAAGCAGTCACCTTATTTGATATCAGTTGTAATATCCAATGCCTACATTTAACATCATAGAAGAGATGTCAGGAAAAAATGCATTTCACACATTTCTCTCTAAATATGTAATAAATTTGGAAACTAGGGTGTTAAACTACGCCAATGTCAATGTATTTTTGTAGGCTTTTAACATATGCAAGTTAAAGTTTTAACATATGAATGTTATCCAGTTTACAAAATCATGTTAACCCAGACAGATGGCAGAGATCCTGCCAAACTCGTAACAATCATTTCGTCAGAAGCTAAATTGGTACTCTTTATTGAATTAAATAATCAAGATATACAAGCTACAGATATAGCATATGAAAAATTTAAATTGTCATAATTTTTCATGTTACATCATTACTGTCTTTCATTTTTCATATAAAGTAGCATACTGAGTCCATTAATGCACACTTTTCTTGATACCAGGCTACCATAATTTTGAAAATACTCCCCCTGCATGCTGTTTCATTTATGGCAGGTGTTAAATGTTAATAATTTTTTTTAATGTAAGGGAAAAATAGATACCGTATTTGACAGCATATAAGACACACCTTTATTTAGAAGGCCACACACACGGGAAAAAAGTTTCAATAGTCCGCGTGACAGCGCGGTACCACAATAACTTAAAATGTGATTTCCTTTAGTTCTCACGTTTCGTAAAAGCCAAATAAATTATCATTGAATGCAATTACCAAGCATATTTTTATTAAGGAAAATTAACAAACGGCAAGCTATTTTGAACATGATATGTAAATTTCAATAATGAATAAATGAATGAACGACAAGCAATCAAACATAATACGAAATAAAGCAGAAAAAACGAAAAACACAGATTCAAGGGAAACGTTGCCTATCATGAAATTAGACTTTAATCACTTTCAAGTTTTAACGGCATTTTCAAGTTCAGGCCTAGATGGAGCTGTGCATCGGTTATGTTTTTGTTTTTTAACAGTTTTCAGTTGATCTTCCTGCAGTCGCCAAGTACATCTAATTTTTTCGGTAAGTGGTGGACCGAAGTGCCTTGCTGCTGCTCTGTTTCCATGCACTTTGGCGCAGTTTAACACTCCTAGTTTATACTGAATTGTAGAGCTTAATCTCTTTTTTCCTGTAGTCATATTCTGGTATTTCTTTAAAATAAATGGTTTTAAGCACCGATACCGACACGTTTATACAGTGTAGCACCGATACCAACACATGTGTCGGCTGAGTCAAAGAAAGTCTATGTAAAAAAGGAAAGGCTCCATAGACGTAATGTGACCGTCGAACCTGATCGAACTTCGACATCAGCTTCGAGCTTTGCCGCTTTTTGGCGACGGATATTTTACGCATGCGCAAAATAATTATGGCAGATGTAGAAAAAATTTATGTGTGTCTAGACCTTTATCCGGGCTAAAAATAGCATTCAGTATTGAAAGTTAACCTGTGTCCTTCACGTATAAGACACAGGTAACTTTTTTGAGACCAAATTTAGGAAAAAAAGTGCGTCTTATATGCCGTCAAATATGGTAAATAGCAGTGAACATAAATCCTTCTTTAAAAAGACTAAACTGGCTTATCGACACTTAATCAAGTTTCCATAAAACTAAGGCAAAGATCTCATGCCAGTATTATGATATCGTGCTTATCTATTATGTGATGCTAAATCACACCATTAGGTGACAATTTTTGTTTGTTCTGAGTCGTACCCATACTAGCTTTATAAAGGCCTTACAAGACAACCATCTGCTTAATTTTTCAGAAGGGGGTTAAAATTTTAAAAGTCTATTTATCTGAGCTTTTTTTTTTTTTTTTTTTTTTTTCTGGCTAACTGAATGCCATATACTCAGGCATTTACCATACACATTCTTCCATTTAAATGAATTTTAAAATATGCACTTTTGGGATTTGCTTGCAATGGAAGAAAGTGTTGCAAAACTTCTGCAGAATTACAGTATTTTGCCCCGGAATCCCTAAAGAGAAGAAATGCTTTGAATCCATTCTTAAAAGCTAGTGCTATGAAATTTTCACTACTACAAAAGAAACAGATACTACCTTGCAAACAGGTTTAGTGAATGATAGTGAGATAAACATCTGATGGAAAATATATGAGTAATAACATTATACGCAATAATTTTTTATACCTTCTGATTATTTCCATGCCAACCAAAAAGTTGAGAAAAGTACTGATGAAGCAATGTACTAAGTTAGCAAACATTATCTGTGTGGCAACCCAGCTAGCTACATGTGGATTTGCATTTTTTAAACTGAATGGCGATTTTTATGATCAGTACTTCTTTTTATATTGAGCACATTTGTTTTTGTTGTAACAAATGAAAATGGGACTGTGGAGTTTGCTGGTTTAAGAAAGAGCTTTTCTTCAGAAACATGGTATTTTGTCTAATAACAGAGAATATAAAAAAATCGCGTTCTATGATTTTGGTTTACTTTATTATGGGAAAGTATGCTAGGGCTATCTGTTTAAGTGATGGGAGGACTTCTAAGGGAAATTGGCTCATATACACATTACACAAGAAAAAAACCATGAAAATGCCCAAGCAGCCAGCCCATTTGCCTGGAATCGAACCCGGGGTTGGAACTACCAGTGATCAGCAATTCTATCACCCAGTTGCATTCCATGAAGCTCTACTTCTTAAACAACTGAGTTTTTTAGATATACAATGTGAAAAATTACAAGCAAAGTGTTGGACTGCAAATTGAAAACTTGTTTGAAGACAGTCATATTTTGTTTACAATAGCTTTTTGTTTTATTTTTTGTTAAACAAGGGAATATATATCAGTGAAAATTTGTAAAGAGTACTTGGGGACCCAAACACATTTATCGATTTGTATAACAACCTCTTAGAAATGTATGCCTTCTATGGGGAGGAATGCTGCATTGTAACTATTGTTGAAATAGAAGTAATGATATGCAGAAAATCATTTCCCTCCACAGTTAGCAATGAGTTTATGACTTCTTGGTGAGGGTGTAGATAATCAGAAGTTAGCTTTTTTTTTTTTTTTTTTTCAATTTTAATTCATTCCTTTCCTTCTGTAAAAAGTCGCAAACGGTGCCAAGGCAGTCGTGCTAATATGTAAGCATGAATACAAATTAATGCATATTATATGCAAATTATTTTAATGGAAAATTTTAAATTACATATTTTGTAAATGTAAGTATATATTTATACAGTTTAGTTTGCTAATACAGCCATACTTAAGTTTTATAAATATGTCTACTAACATAAAAAAAACTAAGTTTCACACTAAAAAAAGGGAGAATTTTTATCTTCAAGAAAAAAAAATCATGACGTATTCATAAATTATGTTATTAGAAAGATATTGTATCCCTTAGAATTTTTTTAAAAAGTAGCACTACATATAGTATGCAATTAGTATTTAATTAATGATTATGAGCTATTATATGTGTTGCTATATGTTATATACACTCCTCTACATTTAAATTTATTAGCTTCTCAAAAATATACTGTAAACCCTACCACAATTTTTTGGATGCTATCATAATAAACAAAAAAACAAAACAAAAAAAAATTAAATTAAAAGCAAGCTGAGATCTAGAAAGTAAGATAAATGTTTCAGACAGGCAGGATTTTGTATGCAGGAATACCATGATTATCCCAGTTATTGTTGTCATGAAAATTACTGCAATAATTGGGATAATTAATGCATATAAAATGCATGATTACAGCCAGGGATTTTCAAAATCAATTAGTTAAATTTTAGATACAAGGTAAAAATGAAAGAAGGAGTATATAAAGACCATTATTCATTCTTAGAAATAAAAATTAAAGTAGTCAGGTGGAATTTTTCTTTTCTCTTCACATAAAATTCTACAAGAGTGTATGGAATTTTCAATTTCCTGATGAACCTTCACCAAACACTCAAGAAAAGATAATTGATTAAGATTTGTTCCTAAAAAATTTCAGCTATTCTAAACATTTTGTCTATTCTTTTGAAGGTAAATTCCTTTAGTGTCATGTTAACTGATTCATCATTATCAGAGCTCTGAATACTGCGAACATGCGTCTTTGGGTTCATCATCCTGCATCTTATCGCACGACTGAAACAGGTCCAGTGCATCAGCTTTTTCAATAAATTTTAGTCTTAGATTGAAGCCAAGTGTAGTTATGTCATTGATAACATGGGTTACTTCATTCTGAAATCTTTTAAAATCATCATAAATGAGCTTCATCTTATGGTTGTGATAATTCAAATTTGCAACTCGAGAACTAGAATTTTGGTATCAAATTATAAATCACAAAATGTCATAATAATCAAGGTATTTCTGTATTGAAAACAGCATTTTAAGGTTTGGCAATAAAAAATTAAAACTAAACATACACATAAAAATGTCAAATTCAGGCATAAGACTCAATTACCTAATATAATTAATTACCACACAAAAAACAACATGTTAACATGTTTTATGATTATTAATAATAAACTAACATTATAACTTTATAACTAGAAAGAGGAAAAGAAATTATATAGAAATTAATTCCAAAACCTGAATTACCACTAACTGGACTGACATGACTTTCTAATTCACAAAGAGATGCAAGTTCAGAACTTAACCAGATAACTATGTCCATGAAAGCCATATTAGGAGGCCCTTCACTGAAGGCTCGCTCAAGTACAATTTTTTCAGTTTTGCCATGATACCTTAAAATAAAAGAATTAATTATTTAAAGGCAACAGTAAAAATCAAAATTTTGATAGCTTTACTTAGAAATTTTTAGTTATTTTTCATCTTGTAGATAGTACCTTCTGATTATCTGCACCCCAACAAAAAGTCAATGACTTATTGGCAACTTTTTGAACTATTAGAGAACTTTTGCTTGGCTATCTTTACAACTCATAGCTACTATCCTATTCATAAATAACAATAAAAGAGGGCAATTTATAAGAAACAAAAAATTTATGAGAAAAAATAAAAATCTACATGATGTTTACATTTTCACAAATGATGGATACCATTTGGTGACGTGGGGGCTAAATATAAAGCATGTGAATCCCCATGTGTTACCACACACATTTGAGTACATGTACACTCAAACACATAACGTGGCAAGCACAGGCAAAGATTGGTTATTATTGCAAGCATTGCCAAAAAACACCACAGTGCTACTGTATGTTGAAATTAAGGGTGTGGATAAACAGAAAGTACCTCATAAATTACCAAAACTTAAAAGTTGCAGTACTTATATAATATAGCCAATTTCTGACAAGTTCAACCAACGTTTTTAAAATATCTGTAATTTGACATACTAGTCAATAAAATTAAAATGCTATTTAGGCAGTATTATTATATAGTCAGTAGAATTAATTTATCTTTATGAAGACAGCAAACCATGTCTTAATTTATTTAAAACCCACCACTGTTTACACCTTCATACATCGTTGCTGTATTCAAAATGCTAAAACCATAAATTTTTATAAATACGTATACAGTACAAATACGTATACAGTACAAAGTCCGTAATCTGGACTCGTTGGGACTTCGGCGATTCCGGATTAGGGTTTTTCCGGACTATAGATCATCAATTTAAATCTGGTAAGATGGCATGCAGAAATTATACAATTAAAAATATGAAACCGTAATTTATGAAATAAATAGCAGTTATGATCTAAAGGGTATCAAAATTTACAAAAACAAAGCTTAATATTTATTTGTTTACTTTATTAAACATTTCTTTCAATGCAAGTTGTTTAAGTTGCTTTGTTTTTTGTGCTAATACTTTCTCTTTAATTCTATAAAAAGACATAATTTCTTGTTCAGTTACAAAGTTCCACTGTTCAAGTTCTGTAATTGCTGTGTCGAGAATACCGACTACCTTGTCAATCGAAATTTTTTCATTTTCAATAACCTCTCCGTTACTTTCTTCACTATCGGAAGCAGTATTTTCTGGATCTAGAACCATATTACAGATTTCGCCGTCCATTAATTGATTGACAATTGGGGCATTGTTGTTGCAATGAAAAACTTCTGTTATATCATCTTCCTTTATTACCACTTCTCCACATTTCTTTACAAAATCCAATAACTGGAAAATTTCACCTTTAGTTTGCGACGTCCGAAAACCTTCAAATTCGTGGCTATCATCTTCATCGCTCTCACCATGAAATAAGGTAGCTGGCCATAAATTATGCCATGCATTTTTTAATGTATCTAGATACACATCCTCCCAACGTGCAATCATTCCGGATAATGGACGTCCGAGTTACGGACTTTGTATCGTAATAATAAAAGACCATATGCAGTTAAAAAGTTATTTGGGTCAAAAAGCAGTAACTGCAATAAGATAAATTTTAAACAAAACTAAAGGCTCAGAATTAAAAAAAAATAAAAGTTAAAATTCAATATTTTTAACAGATGACTTATTTTAATATCCTGATTAATTAAATGAAAATCAATTCCAGCAAGATTATTTTTACTAGTTTTGAAAGCTGGACCTCTGGCAAGTTTAAATAAAAGTTGGAACACAACCAACTTCTTCAATTACTTTAATTAAAACACGTGAAGCACGGAAACCTAGTTTATATGATGATTTCAAAAAAAGACATCACATACTACCTTCATGATGACAACCAAAATTTGGTTACAATTAGCCTTTCAGAAACTACAACACAGCAACATATTTAGTCTCTTATCAAACCTTAAAAACAAATATACTGAAAAAATATTAATTTACACTGACATACTAATACCATATGCTTTCATTAATAACAAAACTTTTTTCTACATAGCGTTCACAATAATATTTCAACAATAAAATACCTTCACTGCAAACATCTTCACTACAACTTTTCCAAATCAAATTTTTGATATGATGATATAAAAATAAGAAAACATATTTTAAATTTTTTCTATTTTATTACAACAAATTTTGGAATTTAAAACTTACAAGATTTTGAAAGTCTTTATTAATTAATATAAATGCAAGTACGTTATTTAAAAAATTATGCAATTAATTTTTATAACTAAAAATTTCCATAATTAATATTAAATCCTTTAAAATTAAATTATCTCAGGAAAACTTTAAAATGCATATCAATCATGCCTAATTGATACTTTTTTAACAGCACTGTTATGACAATTTTGGTTTACCTCCAAGTATTACACATGACCATTTTTGACTACAACTTACTTAATAGGAAAAAATCTAGCATTTTTTAATTTTTTAAAATAAAATATACTATAATTTAGTTGATAATATTACAGGGTTAAAAAATCTGCGAAAAAAATTTTATTTACAGAATTACTTAGCAAAATTTATCTTTTAGAATATCAGACATATTACACAGATAATTTTACATATTACACAAAACTTTTTCAATCCAGATATTAGTAGATTAAAATAGAGTGGTAGCCAAACTTTTGAAAAAAAAAAAAAAAAAAAAAAAAACACAAAATCACCTGAAAATCTACCAAATTTTTTTTTCATTATTTTTATATAATACAAGTATATAAAGCACTGAAATTAACTACTTACATTATTTGTCTGCAATTTACACAAATGATTAATTCAGCAATTCTCCCTATGCAAGGCCATATTTATTGCACCTTGCAAAAACTTTACAACTTTATTTTTTTACCTAGGTTAATCTGACATTGTTGACACTTATTTTCTGGAGGAATATCTTTAAGGTTTCTTATAGGAGCAAACAGGTTCTTCTTTAAGGAAATGCAATTTTCAGTCACATCAAAATAATCATGAAAACTAATGTTTGCATTGCCAGTAGTTTCTTTACGTATGTTACATGTATTTATCGTAGACAAATCAAGATATTAAATAACACGTGAACTAGCCAATGTCAGTTTCATAACTAAATGGAATTATTTTGGGGCCATTTGTTCCAAAACATCTATTTCATATTTCATTGCAATATTAAAAACTCAAAATCTCAAGACTTTTCTTCTTATTTGATGCAACTCAGGAGAAGGACAGTTTCTTCTTTTTTCAAAAGATCTTTTGATTCTTTGAAAAAAAAAAAAAAAATCTGCTTTGATGTAAGAAATATAATATCATGCTTGACAACTTTAGAAACAACTAGAATATACTAATTCAGAAGTCAAACAACAAACTAGAATATAATTCAGCTTTCATATTCTTGCATGCATGAGAAATGCATGAATGACTTTGGCAGCATAACTCGATAAATAAACATTAATGCAATAATTATTTTTCATGTTAAAATATTTTTGGTGGCAACAGCTATGTAATCTCGTGAGAGCTTCTGGTTGTTATAAAATGCAAAAGATACAGAAGTACTCTCTGATTAACCATCCAACCCTTCTGGGAAGTTGTCAGTTATAGGCGACTAAATTTACCCCAACTTTAGATGTCAAAAACATTACACATTTTTTAAAAAGGCTGAAAATTACATAAAACTGCAACAAATCAATTAAATTAAAAATACAAGAAGCATCTATAATGAAACAATGAGAATATCATAAAACAGCAAAAAATTAATTATATTAAAAATGAAAGAAGCATCCATAATAAAATACTTACTCCCCCCTCTCTTCTTTTTCCCTGTACACATTGACTTGCTTTAACTTAAAAAAAAAAAGATCAGAGTGTTGTACGAATTCAGAAAAAGCAATTACCACTTAAAAAACACAACAGAGCACTGCAGAAAATTTGGAAAAAGCTATTGTAACAATCACCTAAGATTAGCTAATAAGCAGTAGCCACAAAGATGGCCTTTGAATTTCAACAGCCACAGCCGAATTTGTCACTGGTTAATGTGCATGCAATGATCCATTTATGTAAATTCCTGGGTTGCCTAATTTGGTGACATAGCACACTGTCTGGTGATTCTTCTCAGATTGAACAGTTAAGCAGAGAGTACCGATATGGAATAAACATGTCATATGCATTTAAGGTCTTCCTCATAGCTTTCTTATTTTCAAGTTCTTATTGCAATTTATTTTAATTTGAGATAGTTTGATAAAAGAAGAGTCTCTTCTGAAACACAGCTAATTCTTTTACTAGCCTTTTTTCTTTTAATTCAAAGAAGTAAAGAAATAGTCCATTGTAACACTTCTTCCAGAGTTACAAAATGTGGGTCAACCAAAAAGTGGGTGCCCAAAAAATTCTTCAATTAGTCTGGTTTTCACCTTTTCTGAAAAAGGATATCCATTCAGTAAGTACTTTGTTTTTAACCCTCTGTGCGCCATGACCGGCTTTATCCGGTCATGAGATTTGTTGTCACTTGTTATACAGGGTTATTCAAAAAGAAACAGCAGATTGCAAACATGTATTTCTTCCAAACTACAAAAGATAGAAACGTGATTCTAACATTAATGGATAGAGAAAAGTGTACTATTTAGTACGGGTAAAAGTTCCAATCATGGCTGCATTGGCACTGTTGTTTGTTCTGGTATTATTTGTCGGTTGGTAGTCTGTAGTGAAATGGTGGCGACACCACAGCAGAAGTCTTTTTGTGTTCTACAACTGGCAAAACTAGAGTCCATTGTTGCAGTTCAGCGAGCATTTCACCATCAATTTAATAAACAACCACCACGTCATAAGCAAATTTACGAGTGGCATCGAAAATTCGTAGAAGATGGTTGCATCTGCAAAAGGAAAAGCATGGGATGTACACAGACATCGAACGAGAATGTCGAGCGTATTCGCACACTTTACGAAAGGAGC